GAAAAGAAAGAGAGGTAGAAAGAAGATTCAGATGATTTTTATGTCGGAAGAGGCAAAAGCTACACTGAAGGCATCAGCCCACCGAACGAAAAACAAAATCGATGTGAGCGTCCAAACATGACTTTCCCTGAAGGCATGAGTCCGAGTTTCTGATTGACTGAGAGATTTTATTTTTAAATAATTGTTCTCAAAAAATAAACAGTTTACAGTGATAACTGCTCATTGTCGAAACGAAGCTTACCTTTCACGCTAGTCACAATAAACATCATACTCTTGAATAGGCGTCAATGACTACGGTAAAACTTAGAAAATGACGCCAAAATACACCTTAAAAGTCCCATTTTATTTTTTTTCTAAATCCCATCCCGAATTTACGGCAGAATCTGGTCCCTCAAATAAGGGGCACGTGAGCTTTGATTCTAACCGGATATATTGCACTGGGTCGGGGAGATACAAACTTTTGTGTATCTTTTGTCTAATGGGTACCTGTACTTCGATCATTCGCAAGTTTTGCTAAGTGGTGCGAGACAGCTTTGTTTGCAACCGGACGAACTCCGTTTAATTCAATGAAGCAAACAACTGACAATGCTAAAATAAATTGCAGAGGTACGCTAAAATTAATTGAAAACAACCAAATATTTTCAATGAAAAATAAATCACAGAGAGAGGTAACTTGATACATTACCGTAACAACTCTTTTGACGTGCTGACCGCTTCTCCGCGTCTGATGTTTTGTTTTCCTTGTCATAATACTTACTGATTGTTGATTTTGTTTTGATTTTTGATTTTTTTAGCCTGCAACTCGGCCACGACCTTTGCTTTTTCCGTGAAAAATGGGGAAGTTTACGTCAATTTGACGGACATTCCATTTTTTTTAAACTAACGAAGCACACTGTTTAGCACTCCTATTTTTTTCATTTGCCGATTTCTATTCAGAAAATGTACCTTAATTTTGCACTCTTAAAACATGTCAGATTTCCAACACTAATTATTTAAAACCGATCGAAATTTTAAAACTTTTACGTTAGGAGCTGGAGCTCTCTTCTTGCAGGCAACCGTCGCCGGTAGTACAACAGCATGTTTTGTACGTACATCCGTGCGCTGATTGTCTGCGACTGTCTTAGAAAATCCCTGAATACTGTAAAGGGGGTAATTATTCACTGGGTTTTAATTTAGCTTATTTCGCTGACTGGAAAAATGCGCTAAATTAAAACACAGTGAATATGTAAAATTTAGCATAGAACACATTATCTAAATGACGAAACCGTGAATTTTAAACCCACTGAATATGCCTGAAATGGTAAATCAGTGAAATTTAAACCCAGTGAATATTAGTCATTTTACAGTAAGGCGTTGCCAAAATCGGAAAAAATATAAAAATGCCTCCAACAGAATTCAAATATTTCTTTTAACAAATATGTTGCAGTGAGGAAAATGGGATTGGAAACGATGAACAAAACTTTTTCATTATTGTGCGTTCACTTCCTGGAGTTGGTTCTCAATACTACATAAAAATCATCAAGGATGAATAATTTAATATCCCACTTTGTACTCTTCACGGTAAACCATAGGCTTTGAAATACTCGTAGATTTTTTATTGAAAATACATGGAAGAGAAGCCATGATGTTTTGATCGTGATAAAAGGTCACCTTTCTAGGACCGCCCCCTGTTTAATAATTCATGAGATGACGTCATATTTACTGGGCATTGCCACGTGTTTTTACGGACCCCCATCAAAACACTGGTATAAATGACGTGTTTCTGATTTATATATTCAAGAGCAGTTGTTCTGGTCCAACGATTTTACATAAAATGTCTATGTCTATACGTTAATTTTCAATTTCAATAGTCTAGAAAGTATGACAAAGCAGTAATTCCCGGTTTAATGCGCAAATATGCAAATTAGCCTTTTTCTCGTCTTCTATTTTTGGTGAATTCTTGGGTTTTAAATTAAAATAGCTGATAGACGCTTTGGCCATTTGCCTCAAAATTTTCACACATTATTGACAAGGTGTTCCCCCTTCAAAATGCGTCCGGACAGTTTATTACGGCGAGTGGAACAAAAATAACAAGTCCGCAATTAACATGGATATATAAATTATGCAAAAATAGAAAATAGAAAAGAGTGAACTTCGAGGTCATGCTGTGCGACTTTGAAAGCCGTTAGAGAGATGAGTGGACGCATTTGAATTAGTAGTATACCAAGGTATCCAGTGATGTAATTTTACCCACAAACGGACTTGAAGTTTTTAAGCTAATTTTTTTTAAACCACTTTTGTCCAAAAAAGCATATTTTTGACCCAAAATCAAAAACGCATTCTGGATATTTAAAATAAAGACAAGTTTCACAAAGTTTGTATAATAAGCTTTCAGAAAATATATAACATGTTGGATATATAATATCATCTTCATTGTCTAATTACTCAATTAAAAAGCAAGCCAAATAAACTGCATCTCTACCTTAAGAGGCATGTAATAGACGAAATATGTGGATTCGTTTAATATTTGGAATACGATTTTCCGACTAACAGAATGCCTGTATTGGGGCAGTTTTATATAACAAGATAAGTTTTCAAGTTTCAGTTTTCCCATATCACTGTTGTCCGTATTCTGATGAAACTGATGCATGTATACAGACATATGTTTCAACAGAAATGCCATATGAATAATTAAGGTCTCTCAGTCATAAACTATAATTAAATTGTACACATGTAATATACAGTTAGATTAGTGTATTATGTTTTACATGTAAATAACTATTCAGCCCAATAGTATTATATAGCCTGATGGTTACAGCCATCAAAGCATTTCTAATTTGTCTAGGAATGTGATTAATTTGAACATTTCTCATCTTTTATCTATGCCATCCATTTTATTAATTCTGTCTCTGATACAACAAATATGGTACTGAAAATACCAACATTCCAGGCAGAACATCATGTATTATGCAATACTTCGCATTAACATACAGTATAACTTTGTACAACATGTCATTGTTTTTGCATTTGTGTCGTCTATTTATCACACAAGGATTGCATACTTATGGCATTCAGGTCATGCACTGTGACTTATTGTCCTTCCATCACGCTTGTATTGTATATATGCGTAACAGATTATAACCACTGCAGTGGTAATATACACTACAAACATTGTCACCTGACTTCTATGATTGCCCATGTCCATGAATTAATTTTTTTAGTCCCCGTTCAGACGAAGTCCGAAAACGGGGACTTATAATTCGGTTTATGTCCGTCTATCCGGAGTCGTATTTCATAATCCGTCAAACCGATTCCGTTCATTCTTTGCATGTGCCTAGTACTTTATGTCCATTCAAAATGGCCGACTGGCAGCCATCTTGTTTTTTGGACATGGTTTGTCAGTTTTCATTCAAATTTGGTACATAGATTATACATGTTAGGATACATGTCCATGACAATTTGTTTCAAAATCGGATCTAGGATGGTCGATTGACAGCCATCTGACTTTTTGACATTACTACTATATTTCCAAGATTTATGTATTTTTATTCATTGGCACATACATCATACATGTCACTTTCTTTCATAATCAGATCAAAGATGGCCATATAACGGCTGTTTTTATTTGTGGCCATATTAATATATCTCTGTCACCCATGTATCATTTTCATTGATATTTAGCATGTCATAAATGGATACATGTACAGGGATTTTTGTTTAAGTTGTAGGTTTCTACTCTTTGTCCACAGATGAAGGTGCAGTTTCTTATACATGAATATCTGATAGATTATTGAACACAATACAAGCAAGTATGCCTGCAAGAGGAAGTAGAAAAGTATCATTGTCTCCTGCAAAAGATACTTGTCTTAAGAGAAAGATGAGATCTTCATCTGTGGATGCAGCTTTACAGGGAAAAGGACGTAAACAAGTGAAGTGCGGAGCCAAGAATACCACTGATCAAAAGTCCAAATCATTGCTACAAGTGGCATTACCTACTAAGAAACTTGAAAAAACAGCTCCTTCAAAAAAGAAAAAAACTGACAAAGTACAACAGAATAAAAATACACTGAAGAAAAATGTGCGGGGTAAACCCAAAACACAGCCTACTCAGAAAAAACAAAAGAACACTGATGTGGTGGTAAAGAAGAAAGGCTGCCCCAGGAAAACAGGACATGGTGAAACCCAAGTGCCTAAAAAACAAGGTAGACTCAGAAAAAGTACTGTCTCAGTTGTGAATCAGACAAAAGGGAATAATTCTATTGTGAACCAGCCGAAACGGAAAGGACCAAATTCAAAATCATCAGGGAATGTTGGAACTATTAATAAACATAAAGGGAAATGCAAGGCAGTGTTTTCTACTCCGTTTCTCCCCTTTTTTGACGATGACTTTGTTGCCATTCCAAAACCAGCAGCTGATCTAAACATAGGTAAGTTTATTTCCACTGAACATCAATAATAATAACTTTATTACACTACTAAAAACCTTCAGAGGGTTTTTGTATGGTAAGGAACATAAATACAAAAGAAATAAAAAAAAACATACAATACATAAGAAATAAAAATAAAATGTTAGTAAAATGAAAGAAAAAATAAATTAATTACTTTCTGTGGTTTTAAAAATTGTGCTCTTTAAGTATTTTGCTAAAGCTATATTATTCTCCATAATCTTTTTAAATATGGAATTCACATCCATTGTGTAAATATTTATTGCACACTCATCAAACAGTTTTTTTTCTTTGTTCTATATAACCAATACAAAATAGCAGGAAATGTTTTTCATCTCCTAATGCTTTAGTGTTACATTTATTACAGTGTCTATTTTCTAATTCTATTTTGGGCTTTGTTCTTCTACCTAATTCTATTTCTAAGTTGTGGTCACTTAGACGGAATTTTGAAAGCATTTTCCTGTGGCTGAAATTTGAAATATTTTGCAAATAATTTTCCATATTATAACTTACTTTGAATAGTTTGTATGTTCTCAGTTTTGTTCCCCTATTTTCATTGGTTTCACTGAAATTTAGTTCTTCTCTCCATCTTTGAATATAAATCTCAGATAGTCTGAGTTTTACTTTTTTTAGTATTTGATTCCAATGTTTCATATTGTGATCATTTTT